TATTACAGTTATCAGTCCATATTAACCCTAATGCCAGAAAAGAAGGAGGGTCTGGTATTTCTCTGAAAGGGGGGATGGAACAAACTGACAAATCTTTTGTTTCTTTTATGCATTGGTGATTGAGGAAGTGTCATGGGCTCATGGTGCAGCAGAGGGCGCACAAACTCAAATTGACAATGGACATGTGCTTCTTCAGCGGTGTGTTTGTGTGTGTGTGTGTGTACGTTGGAGTAAAAAAAAATATCCTCACACAGTAATAAAAGTAATTAGTGAAGTGTGACTATATGTGCTTTTTGCAGCGGAAAAAGGCTCAAGAATAAAGTATTTTAAGAATGTGTTGGGTTTGGATTGGGATATGGGGACTGAATATACAGTTTGCACAGCAAGTCTCCATAAAACAGGAAAAGAGTGTGTAGTGTAGCTTGTATATTTTTACATTGTGGGGACCAAATGCCCACACGCATATAGCAAAACCAGTAAATTGTTACCTTGTGGAAACATTTTTTGGTGCCATTGACGAAGACGGCTCACAAATATGATAGAATGAAGACCTAAGGTCCTAACATATTTTCTGTTTTACATTGTTAATTTCCATACCTGCCAAGAAAATTCCACATATTGCTATGACAGCTGTTTTAGCGTTTAGATGCGATTGAGCTGCCACTTGTTACAGTTATTAAAGGAGTTCTCACAAAGATAGATGTACATGTGTGTATGTTTGTGGGGGCTGGGGGATTCTTTGTAGTGTATGTGTGTAAGTACTGTCCATTTATAGCCTTTTGACCACTTGACTGGGTGTTTTGACTGGCTGGACCTACAGCAGATGTCTAGACTAGACCATAGCATCTCAAATGTGTGCATCGCAGACTTTAATGTTGACTTAAATAAGCTGCATGAGTGCTGTTAAGTAGAGTTTAAAAGGAAAATACAGAATGGTTTGTTAGGACAAAGGTCACTGTTCCAGAACTCCCATTTCTCCACCTTTCCTGTGTTACGGTTCCATAATAATACATAATAGCCTCACATATATTTATATGATAAAAATACAACAACTGGGCTCCAACTCTGAAAGCTATCCTCCTCCATTATCCTGTCCTTTACATTCTCTTTAACAGCTGACACCCTTTACGTCAATTCTTAACTTTTTTTCACTGTAAAAACATTTTAAGCTGATTCAAATTAACCTTAAGTCTACTGAACTTATATTATGTTAAACTGACTTAAAACAGCTTGCGTGACTTATAAAATTAAGTTAGAACATGATTAACTTAGATTATTAGGTTACAATGAACTAAAAACATATGCTGTCAGGACTAATTGATGCTATAATTGTTTACAGAGCACAAATAATCTGTGCACATCACATGCTTGTGTCCGGTTTTAGATCAATTTCAAAGAAACATGACCTTATAGGCATGAACTTTCTCCACTGAGTGCTGTATCTGCTCTGATCTTTGCATAGATGTGTGATTCTCTGAAAGATCAAGTGTTGGGTCACACTTTTAGCCTACTCGACTAGCGTTCACACTGTGCCCTCAGTAAGGAGCGTGTTTGGTGAAAGAGAGCATGGATGAACTCTGACGTCAACAGAGCCATTAACTGCTCCATACGAAACCACAAACTTCACACGTGAGGGCAGAATCCAAATGACATGGGGGAAAAACTTGGAAGCACTCCTTCACTGCCATGCAGAAGTAGAAAATTTGGATTTACGGACAGAAATGATAATATGCACAATAGCTCTCCAAAGAAAATGCTGATATAAGCATACTCCACTTCCTGCAGCTTGCTTGTGGAGTAGATTTTATAAATTATTTTTTACATTAAGCATTTACATTTGTTTTTACCACATAATATTTCAACCATGTACATTACATTTTTTTTTACATTTGTAATATTGAGTTAAGTGCTATTTACTTTATTTCTTTAAAATAAAAATGAGTAAACTAGAAAATAGGTATATATATATATATTGCATATAAAGAAAAGTTATATTATTGACTGATAATTAAATAAAACTGTTTGTATGAATGTAGTGGTTATAATTATATATATAATTAAATTTACACACAAATATCTAAAATCTATAAATTAAAACCCAATATTCATATCACACTGTATATAATCAGTGGTGTAAAGTAACACATTACAAATACTCCAATTACTCTGAGTAGTTTTTCTCAATAATTTTAATTTACTAAGTGGTTTCAAAAATGTGTATTTTGTATTTTTACTTTCCCTTGAGTACATTTTTAGTGCTGTATCGGTACTTTCACTCAACTATTATCCTTCAGACTGCAGTCATTACTTTTTTCTTTCTTGTTTATGATTGGCTAAAGTGGAAAAATCAGTCCTGTGATTCCTGTCCAATCAAAATGCACATAAAAAGTCAATCTCATCACATTGAACAACCTCAAGACATGGGCACTAGAATGCAGCAAACCTTTTGGTGGCATTAAAAAAATGTCTAAGAAGATGTCTAAAATCTTTAATGACCCAGAGACTTTTTATAGACTTCATGTGACTGATGAGAAAATGAAGGATGTCGACTGTATGATGACTGAAATCACCAAACAGCCTTAAACAATCACTAAATGGATTGAAGAACCGAACAAGGAATAAAGGAAGGACCGCACCAAGGAAGGAAAGACCAAACTAATGATGAAAGAACCAAATGAATAGTTGTAGAATTCAAGGAAGGACTGAACAAACCAAGGAAGGAACAAATGAATGAAAGAACAAAGTACCTAATGAATGAAGGTACAAGAATATGAACGAACGAACGAACGAACGAACGAATAAGCAAACAAATGAAACGAGGAATGAAGGAAGGACCAAATGAATGAAAAAGGATTCAAGGAAGGACTAAACAAAGGAAGAAAGGAACAAACGAATGAATGAATGAACTAAGGACCTAATGAAGGAGGGAACAAAAGTATGAATGAATGAACAAATAAATAAGTGAACAAAGGAAGGGTGGAAAGAAGGAAGAACTAAATGAATGAAGGAAGGGTTCAAGGAAGGGCTGAACAAACTAAGGATGGAAGGAACGAATGAATGAACAAAAGACATAATAATGGAAAGAACAAAAATATGAACAAATGAATGAGCAAAGAATGAATGAAGGAAGGAAAGAACAAATGAATGAATGAACAAAGGACCCAATGACTGAATGAGCAAACGAATTTAAGGAGGAATGAAGGAAGGACCAAATGAATGAAGAAAGGATTCAAGGAAGGACTAAACAAAGGAAGGAAGGAAGGAAGGACCAAATGAATGAAGAAAGGATTCAAGGAAGGACTAAACAAAGGAAGGAAGGAAGGAAGGAAGGAAGGAAGGAAGGAAGGAAGGAAGGAAGGAAGGAAGGAAGGAAGGAAGGACAAATGAATGAATTAAGAACCTATTGAAGGAGGGAACAAAATATGAATGAACAAACAAATGAATGACAAACGAATGAAGGGAGACACTAAAGAAGGAAGGACCAAATGAATGAAGGACAGGTTCAAGTAAAGACTGAACAAAGGAAAGAAGGAACAAATTAATAAATGAACTAAGGACCTAATGAATGAGGGAACAAAGAAATGAATGAATGAATGAATGAACAAATGAATGAGCGAACGAATCAAGGGAGGAATGAAGGAAGAACCAAAAGAATGAAGGAAGGGTTCAAGGAAGGACTAAACAAACTAAGGAAGGAAGGAATGAACGAATTAATGAACAAACAAAGGCCCTAATGAAGAAAAGAACAAAAATATGAACAAACGAATGAGCGAAAAAATGAAGGAAGGAATGAAGGAAAGAACAAATGACTGAAGCAAGGAATAAACAAACAAATAAATGAAGGAAGGAAGGATAGAATAAACAAACAATGGAAGGAAGGTTGGAAGGAACAAACAAATATGCACTACAGAATGTTACGTTTACACATAACAGCACAAACTGCATGTAAGCTCATCAGCTTTTCAGTGTAATACTCGCTACTCTTGAGTACTTTTGAAAGGGCTACTTTTTACTCATACTTTGAGTAATATTTACAACAGATACTTTTACTCAACTTGCACTACATTTTAGGCAAGTAATGGTACTTTTACTTGAGTATGATTTTTTTACTTGAGTATGATATTTTTCTCTTTCCACCACTGTATATTTTATTATCGTTAAATTTTAATTTAATACATACTCTAAAAATGTTAGGTTATTTCAAAGTTTGGTTAAAATATGGACAAAAAATACGCTGGCTTATTTTTTCTCAAATATTTACCCATTGTTTTTTCCTTATTAATTTTGTTAGTTTAACAGTGTTTATGGTTTGAGTTTATCTTTATATCATATTACTAAGTTTTATGTTCTTTTTGGTACTACTTCTTAGGCTTTTCTTATTTTCTTTTTTAGTCCCTTCTGCAACCATGTGATACTGTTATTTTAGTAACCCACACACTACAAATACATTTTGAAAAAAAAATCTGTTGCGTTTTTCATCAACAGATGCTTCAAAAAACAGAAGGGCAGAAAGACTTCAGAGTTTGCATCTTTCGAGGATTAGCGCGTTCAGACGCAACATATTGATTAGTGCGTCATGCATCAGAAGGCAATTAAAGGGACGCATCAGTTCAATCGTGATGAGATTGGAGTAGTGACGTAGACGCTTCTATTTTCATTCAAATACTCGTTTTAGCGCTGTGAATTGCCTTCACATTCACAATAAAGCGGCGGTTCACACGCTCTCCCCGCCCCGCGCCTCCGGTGGGCGTGGCCACGCGGTGCTCTCGCACACAAAGACGCAGATCTGGCGCGAAAGCACTTTTACCGGCAGCGGGCTGGGGGAGGGTGCGGCTCCACTGCACCACGCGGATCGATCGTTGCTGCCGTTGTAACAGGACACCCGCTTTATATCCGCGAGGAAGAAAAGGAAAACTTTTCTTGTTGTTCAGGTTAAACGGCTGTGAAACAGACTGCTGGAGTAGCGCGCGCTATTGTTTCGCGAGAGCGCGTGTACCGGAGTTCTACCGGACGCTGCGCTTCTTTGTTCTGTTCTGCGCGTCCCGTAGACTCTCCCTGGACTTTGCAGGTCTGCGACCCCATGGTAAGTGCATATTTTACGTCGGACTATCACAGACTTGATCTCAAGTTAATTTTGTTGTTCGCTCTAGTGTTGACTCGTGGGCTGTTGAACATTTCCTGTATCTTTTTATGGGACCTGGTGTTACTTTCACCCTCTTAGTGCGTTTAACCTTAATGGGAGTGTTGGAGTAACGCATTCACATCACATGCGACCGTTTCTCTGTCGTTCAGTCAGCAGGGGTTAACTGCTGTTAGTGTTGATAAACTATTTTGCCTAGATAGACCAATCTCAACCGTTATGCATGTGCACTACAGATATGTGCATTTAATGCAGGTTAGTGAGCATACGCGTGTGCATGCATGTATATCATTTTAAAGCAATGCATTGGTATTTGCGTGTAAGAATAGCACTTTACAGCATTTAATGTACATTAAGCAATGCACTGAGTGACAGCATGCAGTTAGTGAGTGTGCGTTTTACTTGTAAAGTGCATTGCGACGCTTTTGAGCTCCACGTGGTCGGGCATCATTTGATCTAATGACCCGTTGTCTTCGCAGATATTCGTGTAGTAGTACATGGTCTGAAGCGATGCCTGGAGTCAACACCCAAACACTGTACGGCTGGGACATGGAGCACTACTTTTACGACGAGATGGACACCGAGGAGGACTTCTTTAAGTCTACGGCGCCGAGTGAGGATATATGGAAGAAATTCGAGCTGCTTCCCACCCCGCCCATGTCGCCCTCAAGGACGCTGGATGGGGACTGGTTATTCCCGATACCCGGGGACCGGCTTGGGTGGGCGCCGCCGAAGGTGTTAACGTGTGATGAGGAGTATGAGGGGCTTCACAAGTTCGACCCACTGGACATTTTTGGGAATCTGGGTTCAATTGTTATCAAAGACTGCATGTGGAGTGGACTTTCCACGAGTCACCGGCTGGAGAAGGTTGCGCATGGAGAGCGAGCACCGGTGGCCGCTCTGATCCAGAACTCGACCGCACAGAAAGCTGCCCGTGCCGCATCGGGCACGCCCGTGACAGGGAGCCAGGCGGCACAGTGCGTAAGCCCCGCCGCAGTCCTGGAGCTCCCCGTCCCGCATAAGAAAGTGGCTGCTGGCTCCTCCGGTTCAGAGTGTCGCTCAGATTCATCCGGTAAGAGACTAATATTGATGACATGAGGCGATAATTACTTTAATACCACGCAGAGTCTGTTGAGAGTGTGCTACAAATATGGATGATTAATATATGATTACTTGCAGTTCAGACTAAATCTTCCAGACAATTTATTTTTAATAATATTTCTAAAGAAATGGTGAGCCCAAGCTTAAACCCAGACTGAAAGGTCCTGATGTGGAGCGGATTCCCTTCCTCTGCTCAAAAGTTGTGTAATCCGCTCCAGTGCCACTCCCAGTTTTTCATTTCCCACTTGCACGTTGGGGGAACTCCACTGCTTGCACTACTCTCTGAACTTTGCTAAATCCAATTATTTACCATTTGCTGCAGCGTTCAGAGAAACCGCCCTGGCATTGTATTATCATTCTTATCCTAGCTTATTTTGTTTATCTTTTCAGGTTTTCATTGTAGTTTGAGTAGTTCTTTGCACTTTTAGGTTTGAATAAGTATATAATGTTTATAGGTGTAATTTGTTATTTTTATTTTTTGTAATTTTATTTGTCCTCATTAAATTTGCAGTGCGTATTCTAAACTTTTTTGTTGTTTTAATATTTATGCTTTCTTCTAATTGCTAAAATGAATGGTGGTAATGGTTAGCAAAAATTACACTACCAAAGCATTAAAGGGACAATATTAATGAAATTGTGCCTTTTAAATATGCCAATACAACAGTGTAACTAATTGACTCATGTCACAAGAGCTGGAAATCAACTTCCATCCCAAAATCTACGAAATATTCAACAGTTTTATTTGTAGTTTACTAGTGAGTAAATGACCTTTACACAAAGCTGTTTGTTATAAAGTGGAAGCATAAATTGCATTTGTATAACCTGCAGTATTATGAAAGATGTTTGTACTAGGCATGGGCCAGTATAATATTTTGACGGTATTGATAACCTTGGATAAACGTATCACTGTATTGTGACTAGTGCCCTAAACCAAGTTCTTTTTAAATGTCTGAGTAATAAACAACATCTTTTCTTCCGTTGAGCACAATATATTTTAATTTAAGAAGCATTTTAAATATTTTGAAATGGGCGCTTTTGACGTGAAGGGTACTTTTTTGCTGGACATACTGTTGCCCTAAAGAACTAAAGTCACAAAATAAACATGTAAAAAAGAAAAAAACTTAACATGTACCATAGAAACGGTATATCTGAAAATTATGCTGGTTTTAAAACCTTGACTTTTCCAAACCGCGTTAAACCTTGAACCCGGTTATCATCTCATGCCTAGTTTGTACCCAGTTTTGTATTTTTTGTTAGTATACATTTTTATTTGGATTTCATATTGTGCTGAAAGATGTCTCATTTAAAATATCCTGTAATTTTGCTGAAGCTGCCAATCACTTTGTCTCCTCAGATGACGATGAGGATGATGATGAGATTGATGTTGTGACTGTGGACAACCGGCCCAAACGTGGCCGTCCTCCGAGTCGCCGGACGCCGGTTACCATTACAGTCAGTGCTGATCCATTTGGACCATGTCCCAAACGCTTCCACGTTTCTCTACATCGGCAACAACACAACTATGCCGCTCCTTCCCCTGACACGGACCCTGAGGATGACTTCGAGATTGAGCCTGTAAGCAAACGACCGCGTCTGGAGTCTTCATCTGCTCCCTCGTCTCCACTTTCCTCACCCGCCACTTCAGACTCTGAGGACTCCACTGAGCAGCGGCGCAACTTCTTGGAGAGAAAGCGGAGAGATGACCTTCGCTCCAGGTTTCAGGCGCTCCGTGAGGAGATTCCTGGTCTGTCCGGATCATCAAAGACCTCGAAGGTGGCGATTTTGACGCAGGCAACTGATTACTTACTTCAGTTGCACTCATCTCAGCGGCGCCAAGCTCAGGAGAAGAGAAAACTCAAAGCCAAACAGCAGCAGCTTCTCCGCAGGATCAGTGCGCTGCAGAACTCTTGAAAAACATCCAGTTTAACTTGGCTAATCTTATATTTCCAAAGCTCATTACATGGACAAGGAAACTTGTTTGTCATTCGCAGAAATGACACTTGAAACACTGCAGGGAGATCTTTAAAAAATCGCATTCATTTCTGGCCTTCTTGTGAGGATCTGTGTGTTTGTGTGCGCGCGCGTGTTATTCTGTAGACTTGAAAACATGAATTTTTGTATGAGATGATGACAAATGTGCACATGCAATGCCTTTATAAACCTCAGTGGACAGCGGCGATACAGAGGAAGCTGTAATATTGACAAATTTACCTCCATAGAAAGAAGGGTGGGTGGTGTTTGTATGCATGTTGGGTGTGTAGGGGTGCGTGAGGGGAGCATGGTGTTTGAACACATGTAAAAAGTCTGAAGTGTCTTGTTCATAATTTGATCTGTACAAAATGTGATGTAAATACTGTATTCAGAGGACTTCATCCTCCTGTATCTACTCGACTGCACAGAGATTCTATTTTGGTAAAGAATAAAGCATCTAAAATGACTGGAGGTGGGCTTTCACGTTTATTTGTATCCATCTATATTGAGAAGGATATAATTTCTCAAGTATTAGACTGGGTATCTGTGAGGTCTTAATGCCTTAAATGTAAACAATTTTAGGCCTTAACGTCTTAAATTCACTAAAATATTGTGTTGTATGTGCTACATAATTGTAAACCGGTTTTAATTTTCCTCTGTCCAACTAAAGCTACTCAATAGGGTATATGCCGAGCTAGTGCTGTTCCTATGCTGATACACTTCCGGTGACCTGTTATTGTGAACTTTTTTCCATTTTATACAGTTCCTTATACAGCATCGATGTTGTAATGTCATTAAAATACTTTCAGTTAAATAAACTTTAGCATTTATTTAGTTGCTCAAGCGTAAAACGAGACAAAAAGCTGTTTACTCACACGTGCCCGTCAGAATCGGCAGGCTAACGCAGAAGCTCCATTGAATATACTGGGGTAAAAATAAATGCTCATATTATAAAGATATGGCGGGGGAAATGTAATTTAATGCAGTGCTTCTTGTACAATCTGAGACCCACTTTAAATCGGATATCACTCAGCTAGTGGAGATCGCTGATTTTTTTAAGAAAACAGACTTTAAATGCACCAGATTTTGCATTGACATTCAATTAGCCGGAAGTGCTTACTGGCAAATTAAAAGTCCTATTAGCATGCTTCGGCATATACCCCATTAGACGGACATCCATCCGATAACCAGCCATCCATCTTCATAAAATCAGGGAACGATAACAATTACCTTTACTCATGATCATAACAGCAATTTATCCCTTTACAACATTATCTTCCATTCATATAAAAGCTATTTACAGAAGGGTGAGCAGACTTAATATTTATAAATGGACATGAAACTTATAAGCTTTTATAACGAATGCATTAGGTTGAAGATAAGTTATCAATTAATTTCAACCAAAAGCCAACAAATATATATTTTTGATCATGCAATTAATATAATAAATATACTTTTGACAATGTTAAACTTGTCATATAAAAAAATAGAAATATTTTATTGAAAATAGTGTTTACAACTGGAGTTTTTTTTTTTTTTTTGTGTTGACACTAAAGAATGTCACTAAGAAATAATCATTAGTGTTTAGCCCTGCAAATGTCTAAATTTCCTTTCATAGTGCTCCTAAAACAGTCCTAAGAAGTCTCCAATTTCAACTTTCTGCTTTTAATATTTATTAACAAAAATAAGACTACGGTTTTGGAACTATAGAACATTGCAATATTTTATTCTCCCGATTATATTGCAATATAAATGCAATTTCCCCAGATTAATATCTGTATTGGAAAAGAACTGATAATTTTAGATTAATTCAGATGATTCTGATGGGGAGTGCATCAGTATAATATTTAATAAACACGTAAATATCGCTCTTAAATTTTTTATTACTTTCCCTCTGTGTGACCCTGCTCTGTCATGTTACATTATTCCTTCAATATGTTGAGCATGAACAACTTAGACACTGAGACAACTGAGCAGCTTGTACCAAAGAAAAATGCATACTTATTTCTTACTGTACAAAAACTTTAATTAATCATAATCAGGTTAAAATGTTCAATTAATCGAGATTTTGATTTAATGCCCCATCGCCCAGCCCTTCTATAAATACAATAAAGAAAAAACACCACAGAAACAGTTTTTCAATTGCTTTCGGAGTCTAACAGTATTCAGGTACATTCATTTATTTTCTTGTCGGCTTAGTCCCTTTATTAATCAGGGGTCGTCACAGCGGAATGAACCGCCAACTTATTCAGCACATTTTTACACAGCGGATGCCCTTCCTGCCGCAACCCATCTCTGAGAATCATACACATCCACATCCACACACACACTCATACACTACAGACAATTTAGCCTACTCAATTCACCTTCAATTCGCCAAGGATCGAACCAGTGACCCAGCGACCTTCTTTATTCAGGTACAGTCATTTATTAATAATCATTGAGTGACACTTTTTGTTATTGGAGTTACAAACTGTGCAATTTTTGAATGCTTTTAAAATCACAATCACATGCCTCAAACACATACAATTGCGAACGATCACATTGCGATATTAAAGCTGAAACGATATATTGTGCAGCTAAGGCTGGGCAAAATGGCAAAAATACAACTGTGATAGTTCTTTTTCATATTAAACAATATATATATATATATATATATATATATATATATATATATATATATATATATATATATATATATATATATATATATATACATATATACTGATATAAGTTGTTAATGCTTCCATTTTTAAAAGAGTATCCCAACAATGAAGCCACAAAGATCAGATGCTTTATTAAATAACATTACTTTAAATAAAGAATTGTTTATTAACAAGCATAATTTACACATTACTATTTGTTTTGGAGAATCTGATTTTCTGTATTATACTTATAATATTCAATATAAAATATAGACCATTTTGAGGGATGTAAACAAAAACAATGGTCCCAGCGTATTTCCTGTTTCACATTTTTTATTTTTATAGCTTCGGAGAATCTAAAAAGAGCCACATATGTATAGATAATGTTATGAGAGCTGTTTTAACATTGAGTTAAGATTTAATTGCCTCTTGTTTACAGTTATGAAATAGTTTGATAACAAGCAGGAAATGTTCATGTGCCATGACATCACCACATTAAAATAGTCTATAATATTCTGAAAAACTAACTGTAACTGACAGCATCCAAACAGTACACAGACAAAAATACACTTTAATATGCATTTTCTAAAAATAAACAAGTAAAAAAGCATTTAATATAAATATTTTACATAACTAAAAATGGTAAATACAGTCATAATGAAAGTAAACAACAGTTTAACAGCAAATACTGCTGGCGGGAAAGTGAATCGAGCTCGCTAAACAATACTGGGTGACGTAACATATCTCTAATGTCAACACAATTACAGATTCCTGTTGTTGCATATGTCTGCTGTGTGATAATAATGATGCAGCCGATTAGATCTGGCATACTCTAAAGTTAATTTTTAAAGTTGATTTTTTGGTTGACACCTCTATTCCTAATTTTTTAAATGTTCAAGGCTAAAGTAAAAAATCAGTTATTCAGATCCACTACTGGAAGAGGAAGTAGTCTGGATATCTGCTGAAAAACAGGTAGTTCAGAAATCACCTTTACCCCCATTATCCTGAACAACAGGTTAAACAGTGACAGTGAAGGTGTGAAAGCTGACTTGCATGTATGGGAGTGTTGTTCTGCTTACAACTTGAATATAAAATAAATGGGTCAGGGATTATTCGCTACTTTGTAGCTACTTGTAGAATGTAGTTGGGTCTTTCATTTTTTCATAAGCAGCAGAAGTGGGAGATGTGTATTGTGGGAGTTGCAGGAAGTTAAAAGAGGAAGTGATGCAAGCATGCTCAGCGCCTTTTCCTGTAATTCTGAATTTGTTCCCCACACTGGAAAAGGATTCGTTTAGTCTGTAAGATTTTATCTGATTGTCTGACAAAAAGTTTGGTATTTTATTTCTTTATTCATTCATTCATTTATTAATTTATTTTCTTTTCGGCTTAGTCTCTTTATTAATCTAGGGTCACCACAGCTGAATGAACCCCCAACTTATCCAGCATATGTTTTATGTAGCGGATGCCCTTCCAGCTGCAACCCATTACTAGAAAACATCCATACACACTCATTCACACACATACACTACGGACAATTTAAGCTACCCAATTCACCTGCAAATCTTTGGACTTGTGGGGGAAACCCGAGCACCCAGAGGAAACTTACACGAACCCGGGGAGAACATGCAAACTCCACACAGAAACGCCAACTGACCCAGCCGAGGCTAAAACCAGCGACTTTTTTGCTGTGAGGCGAACGTGCTACCCAATGCGCCACCGTGCAGCCCTTATTTATTTATTTATTTTTTTGTGGAAAAGAAACATTGAATGATTTCTTATGAAAGAAAAAACAAAAAGGCCAACATGTCAGCATATGAAGGGCTTAATCATTCAAAACTTTGTGGCGGTTCGTTCAACTAGTTTTGTTTTATTTATTTATTTATATTTCTTTTACGGAATTTTTAATTTTGCTAATAACATTTTAGATTTTACAACAACCCTCACACCAAATCCCTCATCCCCAAATAAAACAATCAACATCTGGAAAAAAATTTAAATAAAAGTAATAAATAAAATAAAATAAATACAAATGCAGAAAATAACAAACCATATACATCCATACATATATACCTTCTTGATCCACATCAAAGGTTTTAGGGATTTTTTGAAAGATAAAGGGCTTTTATTTATCTGAGTCACAGTAAAACTATTAAAATGTAGCAAAATGTTAGAAATAATACTGCTTTTTGAAGTTTGGATTACAAGTATTGAGTAAAGTAACGCATTACTTTTTTAAAATTAAGAGTTGATATTTGACTTAATTGCCACAGCCATATCACCCTGCAGCCCAAGACCGGTTACTCACTGAAGCTAAGCAGGGCTGAGCCTGGTCAATACCTGGATGGGAGACCACATGGGAAAACTAGGTTGCTGTTGGAAGTGGTGTTAGTGAGGCCAGCAGGGGGCGCTCAACCTGCGGTCTGTGTGAGCCCTAATGCCCCAGTAAAAGTGAAGGGGACACTATACTGTCAGTGGGCACCGTCTTTCGGATGAGACATTAAACCGAGGTCCTGACTCTCTGTGGTCATTAAAAAAAAAAATCCCATCGCACTTCTCGTAAAGAGCAGGGGTGTAACCCCGGTGTTCTGGCCAAAAAGTCCCTAAATCATGGCCTCCCAATCATCCCTATCCATTGAATTGGCTATATCACTGTCTCTCGACTCCTCCATTAGCTGGTGTGTAGTGAGTGCACTGGTGCTGTTGTTCTGTGGCTGCCGTAGCATCATTCAAGTTGATGCTGCACACTGGTGGTGGTGTAGAGAGACCCCCCCCCCCCATGATGTAAAGCACTTTGGGTGTATGGCCATACATAATAAATGCGCTATA